CAATCGACTCAGTCTAAGCCATCCAGCCACGTCCTGCAACACCTGGTCCAGATCTTCCGGGGTAGAGTCAGACTAACCGCCCAACATCAGACAGAGCTGGGTGTCATCCGCATATTGGTGAAAACCCAGCCCATGCCTCTGGGCAATCTGGGCAAGGGAGCGCATATAGATGTTAAATAGCATCGGGGAGAGCACAGCCCCTTGGGGCACACCACACACTAGTGGGTGCCTTCGGGACTGCTGCTCCCCAATAGGCACCCTTTGTCCCCAACCTTGGAGAAAGGAGACAAGCCATTGCAAGGCGAGCCCCTGAATTCCCATGTCGGCGAGGCGGTGGGCAAGCAGCTGATGGTCGACCATGTCGAACGCTGCCGACAGGTCTAGCAACAGCAACACTGCCGTCCCACCCCGATCCAGATGCCTCCGGAGGTCATCCGTGAGAGCGACCAGTACTGTCTCCGTCCCATGGCCAGGGCGAAAACCGAACTGGAAAGGATCTAGCATGGAAGCGTCATCCAGAAAGCTCTGCAACTGCACCGCCACCGCCCTCTCAATTAGGAGAACAGACATGTAGCATGGGAGGGAGATTAATTTATATAACTGTAGACAGATCATGCTATACCCAGACTAATAAATCCAGCTAAGCCCCAAACAGACTTTTCAGCTAACTCTATGCCTTTTTATTTAGAGGGGGGGGACTTCATTCAATGTGACCCACAAATATTGTAAGTATGCATAAGGCTGCAGCTCAAATGACGTATGTAAAACACACATACACCACCCAAAAATGCATGAATAAATCCTGCACCCTGACTGTTGACGTTTGCAAAAGAAGTGCAGGGTGACAACTGAACCATTCCCGCTTTACTTCGAACCGAGTACACATGCCACCCAAAGCAAATGGAGTAGGGAAGGTCAGCCACCAAAATTGCTTCTAATGGTTCGAAGGCAGTGTTTTCAAGATGGCTCCTTGCTAGAGCCTTCGCTTGGCTGACGCAGCTCATCTAGCAAAGGAAGGGCAGACCTACCCCTCATGGGGCACTTCCTTCCAGTAGCCATGGTTATGCTGATAGAGGAGGGTGGGAAATTAGATGCTCCCATCTTCCTTCTGCATATTTTGCTCCTCAGGTCCTACTGGTAGTGTCAAAAATTGATCAAGTGGTCTTGACCATTTGTTCCTCATTTGTCCTGGGGAAAAGTCTTACCTGTTAGCAATAAGTCTTACCTATTATTCATGTAAATTGGGAGGGGAGAACTAGTAAGATCACCAGTGACAAAAAATGGCCTGTTCCTGTGTTAATAAAGCTTTTCACAGTGGGCTGTATTAATTTTTAATTTTTTTTTCATTCTAGAATACTGAAAGCTGTTTATTGCAGAATGAATACTAACAATGACTAAAATAATACCCCAGCTGCAGAGGGCAGCAATGAGCCATAGTACCTCCCAATACTATTGCAGGCCAGGAGGACGCCTTGGTTGATGGTATCAAAGGTCACTGAAAGGTCTAGAAGACAGGCATCAACAAGAATATTTGGTGTAGTGGTTAAGTGCACAGACTCTAATCTGGGAGAACCGGGTTTGATTCCCCACTCCTCCACTTGCACCTGGCTGGATGACCTTGGGCAAGCCGTAGTTCTGATAAGAGCTGTTCTTGAAAAAGAGCAGTTTCTGTCAGAGCTCTCTCAGCATCACCTACCTCACAGGGTGCCTGCTGTGGGGAGGGGAAGGGAAAGGAGTTTGTAAGCTGCTCTGAGACACCTTTGGGTAGTGAAGGGCGGGGTATAAATCCAATCTCCTCCTCTTCTTCTACCTCTGTCCATCTCCTAGAGAGGAACACAAAATCCTAACAGAGTTACACTCTTTAAGTCTTCTGAAGTCAATGAATGGACTTAGAAGCATGCAGCTCTTCTTAGGATCGCACTCCAAGGCAGTTGCAGCACCAGAATGAAATTAGACACCAGATTTGACTGGGATCCAAATATTATCTGCACACCAAGCTGCTCATATAGGTACATCAGCTAGCTGAAAAACTGACAAACCTAGGACTAAACAGGAACAGATATCTTTAGAGAGAAAACCCCCTAAAAGGTACAAATATCAGAAGGCTAGATGGCCTCTGGGAAAGGAGTTTGCAACATAACATTCTGCTGAAAAATATCAAGGTTATCATACTGTCTGTTTTGTGGCTCCAGTCTTACCACGGTTAGGAAAGACTGTGGTCAAATGACGGCACATTGTTACTACAACAGAGTCCATAACTGGAAATAGATTTCCAAGAAGTAGATATTATGAGGAGACTGGAAGGCTAAAGGAGGATTTCTCTAAGTTATGTATATAGTTGGCAAATAGTATCTCAAGAGGCCTGAAGTGTCAGATACAGTAAGAGACATTTCTGCCTGATAGGAAATAATAGAATCATGAAAGTGAAATGACCAATACAGATATCTATTTTTAAGTTAATTTTCGGATGAAACCAAAGTGATGGCTAACAGGGGACCAGAAACAGACAGCCTTTGACAGAATGTTAGGTGCACTTTTCACGCAGAGGTGAATAAACCAGCCTACTATTGACATTACCTCTGCTGAGGAGGACAGATTGATGCAACGCGGTTATGGTTTGTCCTTTTCCTTCTCAATGTCTTCTCTCCACGAGAACGAATAAACCAGAAGCCTCTCATGTCCTGTCAACTCCTCAGAGAGGCTACATGAAATAGGACTGAGTGATGTAAGCCACGGCTGCGTCAGAATTTGACCCAACCTCCCCCCCCAAAAAAAACCCCTAAGGCCTATACTGTGGTCAGAAGACAAGAGGGCCATAGCCACCTTAGGCTGTCTACAAATGATCATTTGTGAAGAACTGGAGCAACATTCCTTTTAATATTACCAGAGCACTACACTCAATCCAGCATTACCAAAAATAGTTGTATAAAAGGAATTAAGAGAATCTCACTGCTGAGAGTGACAATCTGCTGCTTCATAGCTTCTCAACACCAGCAGATTGTGATCAAATAAGTGGCGCTTGCAGACAGTGATAACATTCTTGAATAGATGGCTATTGCTAAGACAGAGTGATTGCCTTGCTATTTAATTTTTGCCTCTGCGGAGAGGACAACATTTACAGATGGGTACATAAGATAAAGCACTCATCTTGGATCAGGCTGTCCATTACCACCACAGGGTTTTAAAAAATTATTTTAGCTACAACTTCAGCATATTCCAAAAGGTTGCTTCTGAACTTTATACTCCTTTACCCCATATATTCCGATTTGTATTTTCTATCTATTCCTCATACCTGCTTAGCAAAATCAGTTTAAAACACAGGAAAATATGTAAAAGAAAACCCCCCAAAAAAGGAAAACCATGTCAGAATTAAATTCTTTAATACAAAAGAAGTTTCGTCGGTCATAGATGGTGTTGTTTTTTAAAGATATATTTGTTATTTTTTGTTTAAAAATAAATATGTACTACGGAATATCTTGAAAAAATCCACTAGACACAATGTGATGTTAATATCTTTTTCCCCGCAATTATTACAGATAAACAGTAGCACCAATAAATAAAATGATAATATTAAAATTTTAAAAAAGATTCAGGGTGTAAAATTTTCTATATTCCTTGGTTTTTTACATATATAAAAATTGTAGTGTATTTAATCCAAATCACACATATACATAAATATATATATTTATATATACATATACATATAGCCAAATATATATATAGTATGTAGATGTATACCTAACTCTTGTCTCAAAAGGAATGTGTCAGGGGGATGTTAGAGAGATATTAAATAACTGATCATAACATGCTACTGACTCTGCCAACAATTGGGGAGAGATGGGATGGAACAGGAGAGTTAAAATTTTATACACAACAGTACAAAAAAGAGGTTCGGCTTATAAATAGTGAAATTAAATATTAACAAAGAATACTGAAAAAAATCCCTACTTTTAATTAAATTATTTTAATTTCTAATTTTAAAAAAGGGATATTAAACAAGTATATAGAACACTGTCAGCTCTCACAGAATGAATATATATACACATTTCAGTTGCACATACACACTCACCCACACATCCACAATGCACACAACATTTGCCGCTGGCTGGAAGGGGGAATTCATAGTGGTTGATCACATGCCACAAGCTGATTGTAAGCTGGTATTTTGCTAGTCAGTAGACAGTCAAGAATTTGCCAGCATTCCAACAAAGACCAATAAAAGCTTGTTTTAAAAAGCCAAATCCAGAACGAAAGACATGCCCAGGTCCAGTGAGAGAAGAGGGAAGCTAGCCTTCATGTGTACAAAAGGAGGCTGGAACACAGTTTCTAGCAGTGGACTACTGAATTCAACACTGCACAGACAGCTCTAGACACTGGCTTGAGAAGTGTGTGCAGTTCTGAACAGATAAACACTTCATCAGCCTGGATAGCACCAGTAACTTTTGTGGTTAAGGTAGGAGCAGAATCCAGGGGTATCCTCCTTCCTGTACTACAGGCGGAAGGAAAAGCTAGGTGTTCAGTATTTTTAAATCTAACTTGACTGAACACCTTTTGGGCAACCAGATGGGTACGTGCATGTAATCAGCCTATTGCTGTTCATGCATCTTTGGTTTGGGGGCCTCTAAAGACACACAAAATATGTGTCTATGCGAGTGCACGTTGTATGCCAGTATATTTCACATACATTATTTAAGAACTGAGTAACATCAATTCTAACCTTAAATATAATCTATATCTGCACAGGTATACATGTGCACACACTGGAATCCACCTATAACATCACAGATACCAGGTATAATCCAACAGGAAATTAAAAATTTGCCCTTGAAGGATAACTCAAAGCACAAGGACATTGTCCTAGAGCACAGTCCCCCAAATGCATTTCAACTAAAACTACACATACCCAAAATTTACCAGTGGATTCTGCTCATAGACTGTAAGGCTGTGCTTGCCAGACAATCAGAGAGATCCCATTATAACAACTATAATGGCAAGGGGGGAAAAACCTTTATAATGGCAAGGCAAAAAAAAAGAAAAAGAGGACCATCTTGCAAGCGAGTTTCAGGCACTTGTGGGATATACCCCACGATCATCCTTCTAGGAATTTTTAATGTGTCAAGTGGTTTGGGGTACTACAAACACCAAAGTGCTTTACCTCACAAGGCACTGAGTGTCCTACAAGAGCACTTATGCCAAATGACATATTCTTAGTGGCTACTGGGCTAGCCCCAGTGTCACAATGGTTCTCTTGCCAGTTTTAGAGTTCCAAGGCTTTTTACGCAGTCTTGAGGGCTAAATACAGACAGATTCACTGGGGGCAATTATGGATGTGGTCCTTAGGATTAAAGGCTATGCAGAAACAGTAGTACATTTCATCATGGTTAATGGCTGGGATCAGATTTTACGAATCAGGAACCAGATTCTAATCTAAAGGGAACTGGGCAATACTGTCAAACCCTAGAAAGCCTTAAAACACTAGCCATATAGAAACTCTACCAACTGTCAAGAGGCTCCAAATACCAACATACTGAATCTTTTAGTGCAGAAGCAGCTCTCTCAAGAATGTCTGGGTTGGCTGCATTACATGTACAAAGTTTGGCCGAGCTCAGATAAATGTCCTCGGAACTTTACACCACTGATTATTCAACAACTCAAAACTTTTACTAAGGCCTAAAAATCCCACATGGCACATGTTCAACTTTATTTCCTAAGATTCCAAATGGGTTTCCCCTACGTAGAGGGTCTGTCCAGATGAGAACTTACTTACTGTCAATAAGCAACGCTCACTACAGACTCTGATGTTTCTAAGAGACTAAGGTTAACAGAGCGCAAAGCATGAGTTTCTGCCTGTCAGATCTATGCTTCACAGGTCTCATTCAATAGGCATCTGTTGCAGCTGAACTCTTCAAAGCTCTTGGTGGAACAGGCAATATTATTCCGCAGTTGTAGTGGTGAAATATTTTATAGAAATAGATAAATAACTCTAGCAAAGCATGCCCTCTCAATACATTCACAGGTTACAATGACTCAAGAATATCAATGAATTTACAACACCAGAGGTAAGCTCTCATCTAGAGATAGTGAGTAGGCCCAAAAAGGTCAGTAGCCAATTCTGAACTCATTACAGGCACACAAAAATTGCCTCTATAGTTGTGTACATATACACCCCACACACGACACTCACTCACACCCACCATACTATACATATATACTTTTGATTAATATCCCTTTCAGGAGATGTTCCATAAGCATCTGGGATGCTAGTCAGTGGCAGCTCTGTGCATGACGGTTTCAGACAGTGCTGTTCTATTGCCTATCTATGCACCGGTCCCCATTCTTGCTTCCATGTACTGCCAGTCATATATCCTTTATTTAAGTAGCCATCAGGGGTGGAAGATTCCAGATTCCAGTGAAGTTTTCTCAAGCTGAAAAGTTCTTGCATCAGCCACTTCCCATCATTAAGGCCAGAATTTATATCCAAGGCAGAGTTCCTACAGCAAGTCAATTTAAAAAAAACAAACATACACCAGTTTCTCATGTCCCGTGTCCCAGCAAAGCAGGGTGTCATGATACAAATAGGGGCAAAGAATTTAGGGGAGGAGGGGGTGGGAAGCTGGTGGAATCCTCAGTTCCAACTTCTTGAGTCGTTTCCTTGACCTTTGACCCATAATATTCCAAGGTGCCATCTTTGGAATCCCCTGCTTCCTCCTCTCTTGAACAAATGTCTCCCTCTACAGAATTGCAGGGAATAACATTGGTGGAGCAGTATGCTCTAGAAAAATCAGCAAGGGATGAAGAATACCTGCAGCACTTTGGCTGAAGTCCAGTCATAGTTGCTCTTATGCCCCCAAGTAGCCCACTTGTGTCCACAGCAGTTGAGTATATCCAGTGAAGACACCAATAACGTTAGCAAGGATTTAAAAGAGTCAGAATATATATGCATATCTATATAGACACACACACATATATTATTCATGTAAATATGGGTGTCCCAAAACATATACCATTCTAGTCTCCCTGGCTCTATTATTTAGCAGCATGAGAAGGAAAGTCTGTATATCAAACTAGTTCAAAACCAAAAGGTGAATCCTGTGCGGGTCTTCAGGGAATGTTCCTTCCTGAGTCCATCATCTGTACTCAAAAGTGCTGTGCTCTACTGATCCTTCATTTTAGTGTCCATTTGGATTAGTGTTTTTGACCAGGTGAGAAATCAGGCTCCAGAACCAAGGCTGTCCACCCTCCCCTGCCCCTTTCTTCTCTGCTGCTCATCGTCTTGGTTTTTCACATCTGTCAGAGAGAGGGGAAAGGGAAGGAAAAGAGAGGTTATGTTTTTCCGCAGTAAAACTGGGCACAGTATTCTCTGAGGGCACCAACTGGTAAAAAAAAAAGGGTTGACAGTAGAACCAAAAAGAATGCCAAGGCCAGTCAACCTGAATGAGGCACACGTGATTTTTCCACACAGTTCATACAAAAATGGGCGAAGGAGTGACTAAGATTAGTTTTGGGGAGAAGAGAACACGCCCACATTTCCCTCAGGCTTCCTGCGATATTAGGAAAACAGTCATGAAACCATTACTTTCCCTTTAAAGCCATCATTCCACATTCTTTCTTCACACATTCATCAATGCACACCCGAACTTGACACGTGCACAGGAACATGTACACACCTTTCAATGCCCAATCTCATTCTCTTTTTGATTGTGTTGAGGTGCAGCCAAACAAAGCCATGAGTGTCTCATGCAAGCAGAGAAAATAAAAAAGGAAAAGTTTATCATTCCAGTGATTGCCAGGAGGCAGAAATTGGTGCCTGAGCACAGCAGCAACAGTCTGTAGCAGAAGCAGGAGAAAGGAGAGTTGGCTGTGCCCATTTAATATCCACATTTTATAACTTCATAGGAGTGACAGGAATAGAATTCATTCGGAGTGCCTTTTCAATCCTGAAACAGCTACAAATTTACCAATCCACAACACACCCTTCCGCCCAATTCACTCCTCCGAGATCAGCGTGTCAAGGGAGATACTGTCACCAGAAGCTAGCTCTAGGTCCTAGAGAATTTCTGGTAGCCCTGGAACCCTTCTAAGCCTTATGCATTCTGCAAGAAAGATTGAACTAGTTTAACAGAACTTGAAAGGTCAAGGGCAGGGAGCTGGTTGGTTTCACTCCAGGGACTACTTCTGCAGGGTGAACTGTAATTTAAGAAGAGCTGGATCTCTTCTTTCTGCAGCACCAGGCATTCACACTCAAGTTACAACCACACACACACACGATTCCTCAGCACACAGAACAGTTTTCCAGTGGCAGGAAACTGGGTTTCCTGGGCAGTGGTAGGGAAATGCCTGGCAACATCAGTCGGAACAGATGTAAGCACACTTTATTGCACTGGGATCCTGACCACCTAGCCTTGTCTACAAACATAACCAATATGTATGATGCCTCAGTGGCAGAAAGCACTGGAGTCTTTGTGAATGATGGGCCAGCGTTTGTGGCCATGTAACAAATAAAGAGATGATGTGCCACACACATGCAGCCAGACCTTGAAGTGATACAAAAATCAGGAAACCTTTGTGAGTTTTTAGTTTTTGCCACTCTGGACCACCTGTGGCCTTACCCACATGCCTGAACACTGCATTTCACTCTTCCAACTGCATTCAAAGTTGGGAAAGATGGAGGAAGGGGCTGGCCACACAATCTATGCTAAAAGACAGAGAGCAAGAGAGCATGCTTAGATGTCATGGCCGGGTCCTATGCAGGCTCCTTCTACTAAGAACCCTCTAAAGAATTTCAGGGAGGTGAGAGCAGTCTAGTACAACTGAGTTATCCTTTTATACTGGAAGCTCAAAGCAGAAAGCAGAGGATAACAGGATTCTGCTCTCTATGTAAAGGAAAGCACCTTTTTGCACAACTAAAACAAGTGTTGGGTTTGTATATGGCATCACATAAAGGCCTGGAGTATTTTTCCTAGCAGCATGGAAGGACCAATCCTGTTCCCCAAGGAGTACAGCTACATTAACGCCATGCCAACTGTGATCATCCCAGTCCAAGTATACAACATACAAGAAGCTCGCCACTTTACACAGAGTCAGCGCTACCCTGCTCCTTCTACCCCCCTCAATCTTTGTCAAGCAGAGCGGAGGAGGTCATGGAACACTGGCTACAGAAGCTAGCAAAAAGCAAGCCCTCTTGCTCTCTCTTTCAGTCTGTGTGTGTATGTGCGTATTTTTCTCTTTCATTCTCTGGACACAAACCTGCAAGTGCGCTCGTTTAACTCAAGCTGCCTCGACTTGCAACGTGAGTCTGTGAATTTGCAGGAACATTTACAGGTCTGGGGATCTTGTACAAACAAGTGCTTTCTCCTTTCTGAGCAAGGCTCACAGTGACTGCAAAAGGCAAAAGGAAAGAGGTCTAAGCTATAGCGCTTTAGCGGGAAGAAATTACACATGCAACACCCTAAACATTGAAACAACCCTTGCCCCACCCCACAGACACCCAGCATTGCTAATTCAGAACACTGCTGGTTGGTGGACACTCCCAAAGGTGTTCCAACACTTACTTGCAATAGCTTTAAAGAGACAGAAAACAGGCTCTCGGTAGCTACATAATCCACAAGTCCTGCATTAGCCCAAGTAGCAGAAGTTGTGAGATCCTCATTATATTATTAGAGGACCATAAGTCAACAGCCATAATGCTAAATATGCAGGTCATCTCCTCAGACAGAAACTGCTTCCAGTGTTAGATAGGGAACCAGGGCACACAAGTTCCTGAATCCAGCAGAGGTCAATTGCTTTTCACAACAGCTGTTTTTCAAACCCCTCTCTGGCTCCTAACCTGCTACTTGATTATTGGCAATGCAGGATGTTGTGGATTAGTGGGAGAGCAGAGAAAGGAGGAAAGAAGAACCACCAAAATACAGCAGTGATGTCCTCACACATTTCCCAATGTACTCTAACTCCTTTGTTACCTTCTGATCCACACACAAACATACACAAAGCACATACATGCATGAAGAGCCAACACCAAGCCCCCATTGCCAGCCTCCTAAACACCAATTAAAGTTTTAAAAGAAAGCTGAGGAAAATGGGGAGGAGAGGGGAAATCACACAGGTGCATTGCAAGGTGCAACAGCAAATAAGCCTGCCTGTCTGTCTCCTCATGCTGTACCTTAAGAGAAACAATAATCCCCAAGCAAGTTTTTTTAAAAGGTCACTTCTCTTTTATGGCTTTACTTCCCATGTGTCAAGGCTATGTTCCCACCACCAGTGAAATGCTGTATGAGTGATTTGGAGAGGTGGGTGAAATTTTCTTGTAAGTGTATTGCAAGCAAGTGTTTTGATTGGGGGCTGGTGGGAAGAAATGGGGAAAGCGCAGAGTTCTACAAGCACATGATGCAAACGTACAAGTTTTGTGGTTTATACCGGCCTCTCTTGCGCTTTCTCTTTTGACCCTTCCCCCTTCCTCGCTTTGATTTTCTGGAAGAAAAACAAAACAAAAAAAGCAGAAAGGAAAGCGGAGAAGGGAAAGATACAGCCATGTGCCCTTGGGAGAAGAGAAGCACATAAAGAATAGATGGCTGGAGAGTCTTTGGACTGATGTACTCACTGCCACTCCTTGTACACTAGTCTGCTCATATGATTGGTTGCAAAGCCCAAACATGATACTGTACTACCCTTCCCTTCCATCCTTCCATTTACAGGCAACCTCTAAGTACATCCTGTTATTGTTCCAGAAAGAAGAAACTTCTTCTCATCTTAAAAATGATGGGCGAATCGATAAGAGACCTAGAAGTCACCAACACCCAGATGCAGTGCATCATCAGTTGGCAGAGATACTGCAAAACAGCCAGTACCTGTTGCCCCAATAAAACCAAGCAGAGCCTCTGCTCTTGGAGATCATTGTGCTAATGTTCTGTTTTAAAGACCCAGAATACCATGGTGGCAATCTGGAAGGAGGCACAGTTCAGCTGTCAGTAGGGAGTGGAAGGAGAAGTGTCCTACAGGATGTGGAAGAGTACAGATGGCAGACTTAGCCTCAAGGGCCACACTCTGAAGACCAAGCTATTACGGTTCATCTTAACCCAACACATTGCTTCCACTACTAGGGCCGTCCTTCACAAAAAAACTGAACACATAAGCCAGCACTGCTACCCTCTTGCTAGTTGGGATGCACACAGAGAGAGACTGAAGTAACTCAGCAGGTGAAAAATGATATAAGAAGAGGGACTGTAACACCAGTAATTCACTGCCCAGTCTCTAGCCGCTCCAGCCACAGGGGGAAATAGAGAGTTGCCAAATGACAAATTTCTTCATGATGAGATACTGGGGGGGGGGGGGGAGAGATAAGCCTAGGCTGTCACTCCTTAGGAAAAGAAAGTCCTTTAATTTGTCAGTAAGTCAGTTTGTGGCTACTTTCCCACTGCAAAGATAGCCACTATGTTTACTAATTTTTTCATTTTTCTTCCTCTAAAGAACTGTGTCACTTCCGATGATCAACTTCCACCCTCCACCCAATACCCTCATGAATGCTAACATGAATGCTACCTTGGAGCCTATGCTGGCAGAGGACCAAAGCAGAAAATGAACACCCAGCAAAAGGAAATGGAACGCTTGTGGCAACCGTAGTTTGAGGGGGCTTCCCTCCCAGTTCTGCCTCTTTCCTTCCTGGAAGCAATCCACCCTGAGTGGGAGGGATAGGGGTACTGTAATGAGTCAGCTCCCAATGGTACCAGACAGGATGTTTCCAGAGCTATCTGCGAGCCTGCTCATCGACACCCATTTCTCTAACTAAGCAGAATAAGCACCCCAAGAACACAGCAAGAAGTAGAAGTGGGAAAGAGGGGCAGAGGAGAACCTTCGGAAACCTTTCCACAACTTCCACTAAGGAAACACATATCCAGAGGCAGACAAAAAGGCATCAAGCATCAGAAGAATGTACAGCACAACCCAAACTGGCATGCCACAGGTATTTGCAAGATTTGCATGACAATGCAAAGCCACCTGAAGTTCAGCCAAAGATGAAGTGCATAAATTATAGCAAACAGAAGAGGGGGCTTTGGCTACACCCCATTAGCAACAATGTTCATTTGGCCCCAGCATTCACACACCTTTGAACCATTAAGACCCTCAGTCAGACAACGTGCACACATTCTAGAGATAACAAGCCAAGCTTCTCGAGGTTACCCCCTTGATGGCTACACAAAATTAATGGGGGGGGGGTGGATTTAATACTGGAAAGTGGCAGAGTTTGTTTTTTGCCTCTTTTCTTCCATTCTCATGGCTTCCATACCAAACTGCAGAACACGAAGTCACCTACTTGTGATCACAAGAGAGGTGGAGGTGAAGTTGTGTTTTTAAGCCAGAACAGATGATTTGCTCATCTTTGGTATAGTCCTGCAGATGGAAGGATTCTATTTCTTTCTTTCAAGTTTGCCTTCATCCACAGAATGCTGAAAACAGATTCCCCTTTTAGCCTCCTTCCCATGAGGTAACCCACCTTCTGCTTAGATTAACCTGACTCACTTCCCTTTACCCACCCCTCCACAGCTGATATGCAAAGTTCATTCACATACAGATCACTGCCCGTGCCCTAATCAGGCATCTGCTTTCAGCTTTTATCCATGGCTGGCAGAGCTCCCGTGCTCTGAGCAAAGCTCACATGCTTAGTCTTAGTGTTGGAGACCCAGGCAAGCTGGTGTGAGTAAGTCAGCAAATTTTCACCCAAGCAGCAAGAAAGAGAATGGCAATGATTTCCAGCTTTTTGGAGCAATAAGTGCATATGGAAGGAAACTTTCACCTAGAATCCATTCCCAAGGAAGGAGGAGGAGGAGGAGGAGGAGTAGAGTTCTGGTATTTCCTTGCTAGAGTTAATCAGCAAGTAATTTCAATGTAATGATGGGCAGGGACGCAGCAACACTCATTAAGGCAATGAATTCGTATGTGTGTTTAAAGGAATGGATTCAAGGGAGAGCTCTTAAGATGACCGCTTGATTTTTTTAAAGAAACAGCATATTTCTTTTGAAGGAAGGAAGGAAAGAAAGGGGAATCACCAGCACCAAAGGGGGGAAAATAAGCCAAGTCACTTACTTTTCTTGTCTAGTTCTGGTTTCTTTCTTTGGTCTACAAGAGGAAGAAAAAGCAAGATCAGGAAAGTGCTGGCAACACACACACACACAACTTTAAAACACCCTTCACCAGACTACTCCCCCCCCTTACTAGTAACCAGTAAGGAGATTCTTTGCTCAGCTATTTTGCCTGTATTATGAATTCCAAGTTTGGGGGGTGGGGATGAGAAGCAGGCCTTCCTTCCTTCCTGGTCCTTCAGAGCACTTTCCTACTAGCTGTGTGCTATTGCATTTTATGGATTCTCAATCTGAATCATCTAGTTACCACAGCCAACATCTTACGAACATTCTTCAACCATTTTACTAACATCTGAATGCTCCTGACATAATTCTCTGCTTTAGACAGGCCTGCAGCTCTCAAGCACCACCCTCTTACACCAAGGCTATCAGAAATGTTTTTAATCAGCACTAGATGCATACAGTCACAGTTATTAGTAAGACAAGGCATATTCCAAGAACAGCTGGGAAAGTTCTTCATCCTCACCTGCAGCCACATTTACTGTGGTGTTGGAAGCTCATCAGGTTTATGTGCTGACTCTGATATGGTTTAATTCTCATAATCTAAAGTTTAAAAAAACGAAAGAAAAAAGAACTATGGTGAATCACATGCAGAGCAATGCAGTTTAGACTAAAAAACAAGAACTACAGAAACATTCATTAGCAAAACTTAAATTATCCAGCCCAGAGGCTTCAACTCTGCAATGCAACTTAAGTGCAACAACCCATTCACCCAACAGACACCACAGTTGTAGTTCATATATATAGCCAGTTTGGTGTGGTGGTTAAGTGTGCGGACTCCAATCTGGGAGAACCGGGTTTGATTCCCCACTCCTCCACTTGCACCTGCTGATGTGACCTTGGGTCAGTCACAAGCTCTGGCACAGCTGTTCCTGAAAGAGCAGTCTGTGTCAGAGTTCTCGCAGCCCTACCCACCTCACAGGGTGTCTGTTGTGGGGAGGGGAAGGGAAAGGAGTTTGTAAGCCGCTCTGAGACTCCAAGTGAAGGGTGGGGTATAAATCCAATCTCTTCTTCATATTTACACAGTATATGATTTCCTGCTCTCTTTTCCCAGTTATTTTGCTTAGGAGTTAAGCTATGCAGGTACCTACTGCCCCATACAAAAGGTTTGGAAATATATTGGTGGTATTAATTCCACTGGAGGATGCATCTTAACACACTCAATGATTTGTGACAGGGAATATACTTTTTCAGTGTCTCCCTACAGTGCACACCAAAACCTGAAGCGTAGATTACTGCCAACATATATATCAACACCAAAGAAGTGGTACATGGACAGCAGTGGCAATTCAGGCACAAGCAATGTACTATTAGCAAATCCAGTACTAAAGCCATGCTACCCACTTTGAGGCAATAAGAACTGAAGCAGCCTAAATGCAAATTATCCCATGTTAAATGTTGTGTGAACAGCAGCCTCAGACTATAAGCCCTTCTGCTCGGGGATCTATTTATTATGTGAAGCACCACACTAATATGACACTGTAGAATTGATGGCCGACAGTAATGCACAACTTCAGGCTACACCATGGCCCTTAGTAGAACTGGTTTCCTTGCAATCAGTGTAGCCACTTGTGGCAACAAAGTCTGAGAGGCCCAGAAATGAAATGGGATGGAGACCTCTGCAAAACTGGACAGGGTGCCAGTAGTTTCCATGCTATGCATGGAAAGGGAGCTTGGCTCTAGCTGTTATTTCCACCCACTGCCTTTCTGGGTGACTAAATTCTAAATCAAGAGAGGAAGCTCAACCACTCAACCCTGCATCACTACTCTTCCTACCCCTGCCGTGCCACTGTACCTAAGGAGTCAAGAACTACAGCTTGGCCAGTCAAGTCTGACATGGCCAGGAGATAGTTCACAAGGGACTTCCGCTTGCACACCACAGTCTGCTGCATCAGAAGATTGTGCTGTGCGGTACAGAAACCCAAGAAAGAGAGACAGTGGAGGGGGAGAACTGTGGAAGTTTTCCAATACACAGCTCATCAGACAAAACGCCAGACGACCATGAGAGAACCCGCACGACATTCTCTCAGCCTGTAAGTGACGGGTAGACTTGTAGAAAACAGATTCTCCAAAGCAGCCTAATAGGTGCAAATCATACTAGATTCCTTCTGCGCAGGGCTGTAGCCTCATCACATCACCACCACAGAATGCTGGTCAAGAATAGTTAAGGTCTTAATCTGGTGGGACAGAATAGTTCTCAGTCACCTTACACGGAAGCCGGAGAGAACCAGCACTAAAATGCACACAGTCACACCACACTACTCCTACTGCCACCAGAAAATGAAAAGTCATTGGCAGAGCCTCTGGGCAGTCTCCAGTTCTCAGGTGGGAGGGATAACCAGCAGCCAACTACAATGCAGCACATCATGCACTGTTTCTAAACCAGCTAGGCAGCCAATCCAGAATGAGCGCACAAAGTGCTACTTCTTAGTCAGCTCCCTCCATGGAAGGGATGAAAACAGTACAGCCCCTGAAGTGATTTTTTTTCCAACGGCAAGTTTCCCAGCAGCAGTACAGAGCAAGACACACACCTTTCTGCCTCCCCGTCACTACTTCCAATGTGAGATAACTCCAGAAGAAGATAAAGAAGGTCACATCACACTCTATCTTCAGGACAAGGTAGCCATTCAGTAGGCTACTGAAATTCCTTCCTAGAGGAGTTCCATCTCCCCAACCCCTGACCCCAATTAATCCTACTCTCCCTTCAGCTACTTCCAAGGAAACAAAATATAGCTTTGTGGCTTTGTGCCATGGCCTTACCTCCATGGTGACATTGTGCACCTCCAAGGCTACACACTCTAGTGCTTCATCATTACAGCACCCCGCACATCTCATCAGGGGAACACAGGATGGCTTGAAGAAGTACTCCACCTCATCAGGGTATTCCTGGAAAATATCCACCATGGTCTCAATTGATCGGCAGACACTGCGATTGTAGACGTCCACAAATGGGATAACTGCAAAATTAGTCAAGGGGGGGGGATACAAATTAATAACTTGTTTTCTCCTGTGAACTCCAGCATCATCACCCTTAAAGCATTTCAAGTTAGTGTAGAAGCCAGACCCTAAGCATACAGGCTAACAACTCTGCACTTAGAGCTCCTTCTACCTGCATACCTCCTTATTATCTCCCAGGATCATTCAAACAGATCGTCAATAAATGCATCAGCTCAGTTAAAAGCCACTTAAAGCCCAAACCGGGGGGGGGGGGTTAGAAAAGCAGGAAAAGGCTGAATCATGACAGGCTTAGTGTGTCTGAATATTAACCAGCTAGATTCTGTATGAATCTGCAAGACGGAAACTAAAGTGAATAGCAAACCTCAGTAGTCAAAGCAGTTGCAGATAGAGATGTAAAACTTCCAAAAGTATTGAAAGCATGGGGGATGGGGGGAAACAACTACTTGTGATGATTTCAGAAAAACAGATGAGGGGGAAATTGAAATATATCCAATATTTTCTTTTCACCCTAAAGTTATTGTACTGTTAACATAAAATCCATAATTTTATAATGTTGTTATAGCATATAAAGTTGTGTCTTCTGGCAAGCCCTGATCTGGATTCCCCTGGCTAGCCCATTCTTGTCAGATCTCGAACGGTACGCAGGTGGCCCTGGTCAGTATTTGGATGGGAGACCACCAAGGAAGCCCAGAGTCATCATGATACAGAGGCAGGCAATGGCAAATCACCTCTGAATGTCTCTTGCCTTGAAAACCCTACAGGGTCACCATAAATAGGCTGCAACTTGATGGCATTTTCCACCACCAAAAAGCATTTCACTCATAGCTATTTCTACAGGAATGTCTGTATGCCAACATTTCCCAGTTTTTCCATCAGAACCCCCCCCCCCTCGACCTTTACATTTCTAGTTGCAGAGCAGGCAATAAGTATTCCTCTGTAGATAATAGAAGCGAAATGAAGCCCCTGAAGTCTCCAGTTCAGAAACCAGTTTATCAAACTACAACCATTCAGCCAAATACCTGAGCTCATATAACCCAACACAACTCCTACAGACAATGTTTAAGGCTTTTCTGGATCATTTCTTCATGCAACTACTACTTGGACTAACTAGACATTCCCTTTTCCCGAGGAAATATTTCAGCAGAGTGGATATCACAGTTTCCAAAGTACTCACAGCACAGTGCTTTGACATTGGGAAATATACTTCCTCAACTAGCAAGTCTCCTGCTGTTTACAGGGCCATGTGACTTACAAATCTAACAGGCACCTGTGGGATAGCATCTGTGCACCACCCATCTAAACCAATGCAAAATAAAGGAAGCAAATAGCACTGAGAACATGCCCTTTCTTCAAAGCAATGGCCCCCACTATGATCTCACCTGGTTTTTCAATTCAGTGCACATCATGATGACCCCCAGGGCAAAAAAGAGCTGTCTGCCTGCCAATCTGCCCTCCAAAGCCCACCTCCACATGTTAACGTTAAGAACAAGAGTATTATGCCACAAAACTGAGCAAGCAGTACCAATGTACAGGCACTTTTGCCTCTCTTTCTGTTATTTTTGTCTTATGTTTTAGGTACCTTCCATGTTCATAGGCAAGGCTCTGTGCTTTGCTTCACCATGATTGCACAACACCTTGTCACCTACAAAATGATTGATTTCCATTGTCTGGGAAATGTTTGGTCATGCCAGTTGTAGGGGAATCCATATTATCAGAGCCTTGAGGATCTGGGATTCAGCCAAGAAATTCTATTCCAACAAGACTAAAGAAATGAGCAGGACCGTGAAGAGCTAGCTGGTGAAACAGAAGGAGGGCTAAAGGATGTAGGACAGGGGTGTTAAACTTGCAGCCTGTAAGTTGGATCTGGCCCCCCACAGGGCTCCTATTCGGCCCTTGAGCAACCTGCTCTCTCCTGCTTCCTTCTCCAGTTCTGCTACTGCTGCATCACAGCTTGCTTTGCCAGACTCTCTCAACTGCACAGGAAAGATAGATAGGAAAGCCTCTGTTCTCTGCACTGATTGAGGCTCCTCCCCCTCCTCCTTCCAGAGCTTGCTTTCTGGCCAGGCTCCCTCAATCGCACAGGAGACAAATACAAGCCTTTCTTCCCTTCCATTGACTGAGGCTCCTCCCCTTCACTCAGCTGCCTCAATCGCACGAGAGAAATACAAAGCACCTTTAAGACCAACAAAGTTTTTTCAAGATATGAGTTTTTGTGTGCCTTGATAGAGTGTGTGTATTTTGTTGGGCTCATTACACTCTGTGTGTGTGTGTTGTTGGGCTCCTTATGCCAGGGCTCTCCTGGGTGCAACTGGATTTGCCTCCTCTTTAACTCTGTATTCATGCCCTCATGATCTAGTCTCTCTCAGCAGGAAAGCAATGTGAACTATTTAGATAAGGAATAACAAGACAGTGAGGTGGATTAGGCTGAGCATGTGTGTCCAGACCACGTTCACCCAGCACATTTCCTTTGTAGACTGGGGATTTTGAACCTAGACTTCCTAGATACCATGTTGATGGTATACATGGCTGTCTCTCTATTCTTGCACTGCCTCATAGGAGTTGCAGTTATTTTTCTGGGAAGATTATACTTTTATAGACAAACACTTAGCCCTCACTCTGTGTCATGATGCCTTCAAATGTTCTTGATCAGCATACGAAGCAATTTATGTACAAAAGCTTTCACTGCCCAGCTATCTCATGTTTTCCCCTGAGTCCTATGCTCAGAGCACTAACCATGAAATTTCTGTAATAAATGTCAATAAATCAAAAGTCAGTTTGCAGCTTACAGATACAAACCTGAAAAGCATATTCAAGATAGCTACAGCACAGACATTTTGATGCAATAATCAGAGCAAGAGGTGTCAGTTATCAGAGACTGTTAAATAAACAAAATATTGCAAGAGTGCTAATGTTTAAAGTATGTTTTTATTTTAAGTAAAAAAAAATCTTTTAATTGTGTTTGTGTCCTTTATAAAGTTTATATCTCCCCTAAGGTAAAGGTAAAGGTTCCCTTGCTTGAAAGCCAGTCAAATCCGACTCTAGGGTTGCGGTGCTCATCTCCGTTTCAAAGCCGAAGAGCCAGCGCTGTCCAAAGACATTTCCGTGGTCATGTGGCCGGCATCACTAAACACCAAGGCGCACGGAACGCTGTTACCTTCGCACCAAACTGGTACCTATTTATCTACTTGCAATTTCTTGCTTTTGAACTGCTAGGTTGGCAGGAGCTGGAACTAGAGATGGGAGCTCACTCCGTCATGCAGCACACTCAGGTCTCGAACTGCTGAACGAACGACCTTCCACAGCCTGCAGTTCAGCGTCTTAACCACTTGAGCCACCGCAGCTCCTATATCTCCCCTTCCTGGCATTATATTTTATGACACACATGGCCCAGCCCAACAAAGTCTCATTTATGTCACATCTAGCCCTCATAACAAATGAGTTCAACACCCCTGAGTAGGATACATCTGTCTCAGTTCTGGACATATTACTCTATGTATACAAGGAGCAAACCTCCAATGCTACAGCCTTAACTGATTGCCATACAAGTGTTTCAGTGTACCCAAAACCAGTGCTGAAGGTTACTCACAATCCTCAGTCAACAGATGGAGAAACTACAAAACAGTGTGGAAGAGATGGCTAAATTACCACCAATATTACCACCATCGTGTTCTGCAGAGCAGCACCGTCGGGGTGGCCGATTAGCCAAATGGGGACATCTCAGCTTATGGCACCCCACCCCTTTCTGTTGGCCTCACGGGCAGTTAGAATAACGAGTGGGTATTTTAACTATCAATGCATCCGGTAAGATTGAATTGTGTTTTAAGTGGATAACTGTGTAATTTTATCGCACTTGTGTGCCTTAATGGTTTTAATGTGTTATGTTTACTGCACTATTGTGCCATGTAAGCCACCCTGAGCCCGCATGCGGGGAGGGCGGGGTATAAATGAAATAAAATAAAATAAATAAATAAATAATAAATTCAAGCGCAAAGTGTCCTCCTTCCAAGACTACACTCCATACTTTCAACACACAACAAGCATTTACAGCGTGTTGTACAAGGAAGCTTCCACTGTGACTCACACAATCCACAAAAAGTGTCTGACCAGAGCTTTGTTGCCTTTAGATCATATGTCTCTAGCATATGCACAGTCCTGCACTAGCAAGGTTGATAACCCAGCTCGATAAGCACAAACTGCTTGCATCATGGAAAAAACAGTTACCAGTAAGCGTTTATGAAGAGGCCTGAACCTGTGACAACCTGGCATAAAGGTTGCTTTGCCGGGGGGGGGGGGGGACGACTGTCCAATAGCTATAAGGCTTTGAGCTCAGGGCTCTTGATTAACTGTTGAAAGTTAATTCTCGGTCATGTAGAGCCAACAGTGCCACAGTGCTCCTGGCATCAGGTACAAATAGGAGGAGCCTCAGCCTGGGATAAGTATGGATACAGCATATGGGCCTATTTTAAAAAACAGAGCTGCTCAGGGAAGAAAACCCTGGCACGAGGAGAGGCTGGGAGTAATCACTTGTAATCCTCATCTAGAAAGGACAGTCCATATCCCACCCCCACTTGAGTCCAAAGTTTAATATCAGCCTCCCATAGCCTTTGACTGATCTGCGGCACCTCCTCCTCATTCCTTTCCAGGGTGACCTTAGCACACAGTCATCTATAAACTGGAGAATTAAACAATTTAGTGCCTGGGAAGCATGCAGGCACACAGCCAGACATGTAACCGCACTGCTGATTATTCACACCTTTCCTAGCATCAAACAGCGAGGAACCTACCTTGGGTTCCAGTGCACTTGTGATATCAGTCCCACTGTGGCACAGTCTCACAAACATTCTCTGTAACAAGCAGCATTGCTCCTTTCCCCCATTACAAAGGAAAGTTCCAAGATCAGCAAACTCAAGGCAGTGATATCTATATAAAATATAACCTTATAAACTGCAGGAAGAATGGCTTGCCCAAGTCTGCACTTCAGATTAGATTTCTACCAGCAATCTTCAAATCTTCCTTATCTTAGCCATTGTGTTATACCAGCTCCTGTTCTAGAGCATCACCAGATGCACATGCCCAAGCTCTACTCTGTAATGCCCATAAACACACATACTAGTACAGAGGTGGCAAGTCACTGTGCTTTAATAGTGGGGGGGGGTTAAGTGAGCCAAGATGTCTACCCTCTCCAAGTAGCTTTATCTAATGAGTTCTAGGAATGGCCAATTAACTACATTTTTAGCTCCAGATTACCTACTATTCAGGCTGTCATCCCATATGATTTCAGTGCACAACAAAGAAAGAAAGAATTAAAATACATGATTGTTTCATAGTAAAAATACTTCCTCTACGTCACATATATAAAGGAAAAACCACTGGTCCTTGTGATTAATCTACAATCCTTTATGCAGACCCTGTACATTCACAAAAAAGGGAGAATTAAGCACTAGTTCATTCAGTGTTGTTCCATCTTTGGTGCCAAACCTCATGTCAGTTTCACAAAATGCCACAGACTGGAATTGTCCAGCAAAACCAGTATTGCTAGCACAAGCATGGCCTTGATTCTGGAAGCTAGCCTAATTTAAGTTTGGATTTTGGTTAAAGATCACAGAAATTTGTGTACGATGAATTTCTTGTGCAGCTGCTGAACAGTAAGAAGATAAAGATGTAACTTATATGACACCACCCTGTCTTAGAGTAAGCGTTTTCGTGATTGGCAGGGATATATGGTTCCATGGCCAGTTTCCTGAAGTGGATGTGGGGACAGTTGTGCTTAAATCCATGCTCATCTACAGGTCCAGATAAGTAACCAGCTCCAAGAAGCTGCTAAAGATGTAAATTATTATGCACCATCATCACTTGCAAAGTTTTAAATGAGAGGCTTTTAAAAACCTGCCTTTTGCTCTCTAGAATTAACAGTGTCTTCAGATTTAAATCTACATGTTCTCAAGATTCTCATTCTATTTCCATTTAATGCCATAAGGCTTGTTTTTAAAATGAAAAAATAATATTCATGGCAACAAACATGTGGTAGTTTCATCAGGAAAAGGAATCAGGGAGAGAAAATATAAAATGGATGCATTGGTGCAAACTTGCTCTCCCGTAAGCCTCCGGCAATACTGTTCTAGCACGCCAAGCTAACATAACATATAGAAATTGAAGCCTACTGTGACTGGATAAGAGACATTCAATCCCTAGCTGCACTTCTACAGCCCCCTGCTGCCCTGTAGCAAGAACAGCAGTGAGTGCCACCCCTGGTGTGTGTGTTCCTGACTAAGCAGGTGAGGCAAGACATTAGCACTGTGACAGCCAATTTACACATCATGAAGCTGGAAAACAAGTCACAACCTAGAGATCACAAATGTAGGTGGAAACTGCACAGCCTAAAGGTTCAAAGTTTGCCAGCGAAAAGTCAAAGGCATATGTATATTATGATGCACTGCAGCACAGAGGTCCTCAGGTGAGCAAGATGCCTTCAGGAGGCCCAGTCCTATTCACTGAAGCACTCCATCTCTCTCCCTTACCACCCCCTCCTACTTCTGACATCTCTCATTCTTTCCTTTGTTTTGCCTGTTCATCCAAAGTTTAAGATTTCAGGACATTATGTTTACAGCACAGGGAGGTGCAACCGCCTTTTCTCTCGAGGAGGCTCAATACTTAAGTCTGAAATTCCATGCAGTATCCAAATGCTCACAACCAGTAGTTAGGCCTATCATTCTAAACCCTTGCTGAAAGTCTAATACACTAGAACAGGTACACACAAACCTCAATCCTTCATCACATCCTGACCCACAGTGTGCTGTAAAGTCACCTACAGCTCAAGCATCAGACGCATTCAGGTGCTTCAATTCACCTTTAGTTAACCTATCTGAAGTGTGAACCATGGTCTCTGACATGCAAGATACTAAGAAAAATGGAATTTCTGTACAATGGACCTGGCTACTATTAGCAACAGAGAAGTATTTGCCTGGAAAAGGGATCCCTTTATTTGGGGGCATGACCTTCAGCATATTCCAATGTTAATACTTTGCTGCCTTGCCTATGCATATAACCCAGAAGGAAAAGAGGTAGACTGATAATAAGAACGGCAAACCTTCCTTCTGAAATCATGGCAAATCCCTCTGAGTTCTTCACATCTGCTCTAGGCTTAATTTTTTAAATAACCCCAAAATAGAATGCATGTGTTCTGGAAAGTGACATGAATTTAGGGAAAGCTTAAATGCTGTCCCACCCCCCACAAAAACAATTTTGGGGTTAATTTGTATTGCTTCTTAATGAAAATAAATCTCATAACGAAGACAGGACTAAAATCTGTCAGCTAGCCCTTCCTTTCTTATTTCCTCATCACCTCCATGCAATAATATACATTGGCATGTATCCAACCACACAGTTGCTCCAACAGAACAATATTTCTGTTTGCTCAAAAGAGGGTGACAATTTCCACGAAATCCAACCCCCCTTGCGACCCTATGCTGTTCCTGAATAGCTGCTGACCCCAGAAACAAAACAGGGGAGCCCTCAAGTGTCTGCAGCAGGAAAGAGAAGTGGGAGCTTTACATTCTACGAAGTCCACCAACAGAAAGTCACGCGCCGTTATAGGCAATGACTAGAAATAAAACTGGAATTAAAAAGTAAGGTAAAGGTTTCCCTTGCTCGAAAGCCAGTCGAATCCGACTCTAGGGTTGCGGTGCTCATCTCCGTTTCAAAGCCGAAGAGCCAGCACTGTCCGAAGACGTTTCCGTGGTCATGTGGCCGGCATGACTAAACACCAAGGCGCACGGAACGCTGTTACCTTCGCACCAAAGTGGTACCTATTTATCTACTTGCAATTTCTTGCTTTTGAACTGCTAGGTTGGCAGGAGCTGGAACTAGAGACCGGAGCTCACTCCGTCATGCGGCACCCGGGTCTCGAACTGCTGAACTACTGACCTTCCACAGCCTGCAGTTCAGCGTCTTAACCACTTGAGCCACCGCAGCTCCTCAAAACTGGAATGCTAGCTACTATATACAGGCATATGGCTCTACACGATTTACAGCTACTCTCCAGGAGGTGGCAGGGTTAGTCAGGCTCCTCCCCAACAATAATGTCTCCCCCACCCTCGTCACCCTCTCCCATGATCCAATATTCACCTCCCCGCTTCCTTACAACATCGCTTCTTCCAAAGGACTTCTGGCTGTGAAGAGGACAGAAGGAAGACAAGCCACTTACCTTCACTGTGATGCTTCTTCCCATCCCCCTGGGCAGGAGCAGCCTGTGATAACTGCAAAGACAAGACAAAATCAGTCATAACAAAATCATTGTGCTGTCTCCAAACTGTGCAGTTTCCCAGGAATCAACCATGAGGCAAAACAAGACATTGGCATTACTAGAAGATTTCAATTAAATTCCCCAAACTTATTCCTATCTACAGGAACAGTCACAGAAGAACCTCTGAATTCTCTAATTTATCACTCAGGGAAGTACCATTGTGTGAACTGTGCAGTTATATATACATTTTTGCAATTGTGGAGTGTATTTCTCTGCTTGCCACAGTAGCACACACACAGAGAAACTTTTGTTTCTCCCTTTTCTTCAGACCATATGAAAAGTAACATGCCACCATGGCCTGGGCTGAAGCAGCAAGGGGAGAAAGGCAGGAGGCCAATGACAGGCTCCATGAGAAAGCAGAGGCAACTCACCTGCTAGGAAATTAGAAAAAAAGGTTTTGCAGAAAGATAATAGCTTTGTCACTTTAATAGAGAGCAGAAACTAGCTGCTCAAAGGCATTTCAAATTTAGGTCAAAACCCAGAGAGCAAATCTGAACTTGAGAGGGGGGCTGGCAGAGCTGAAAACACTGATGACCTTCTAATGCTGACATGACAAATATGCCCTGAGATCTGTATATGCCCCTGGTCCAAGGCAACATATTAGAAGGCATTTCAATCGGGGGCCCGTCTGTCGGGAGTGCTCTAGCAAAGTGGAAAGAGCCAGCAAAGCAATTCAACTGACCAGGATGTAATGTTGTTTCATAAAGTTGCAGTCACCTGGGGTAGGCAGGAAAGAAAAGAGTTCTTCTCCCCAGCACCAAGAAGGTATCTATGCTGCATCAGCATACAATTAGTCCTAGCTAGTCATAACTGCCACGTGCCTCAACGTTTAATAGGAAAAAAATCATAGGGTTGTCTTCCGCTCCACAGCAGCCCTCCAAGTACTTCCCATCATTCCTTCCTCTCAAAATGATCTAGAAGATCAGATGCAACAGGGGCATTCCTCTACCTGACCGGTGTTCTGTATCTTGTTATCAGATCATTGTTTAGATGAGAGTCTTAAAACCCAGCTCTTTACTGAGGTGATTGAACACTAGAATCCCTGGGACATTGCTCAAGTGATCTGGAATTTTTCCAGATGAATCCCCACTCAGCCATGGAAGCTCACTGGGTGATCTTGGGCTAGTTACTCTCTCTCAGCTTAACCTACCCTCACAGTTTTCTTGCTGTGAAGATAAAAGGGAGGGATAGCAGAACAATGTCGTAAACTTCTTTGGGTCCCCACTGAGGAGAAAAACAGGGCATAAATAAAGAAATATCTATGCACTATGCTGAAGTACTCTGGAGCAGCCTGTGGTAACTGCAAAGACGAGAGAAACAGACAACTAATTTGCAACCCTGCTCAGTTAAGTCTGCTCACTTCCCATTGACTTCTGTGGAACCGAAGCAGCCTAAGATAAGTTAAACTCCAGATAAGGGGAGTAGAATCATCAAGTTCTGGACAAGGACTGGCTCTTTAGCCAGAGAGCTTGGTAGCCAGTGGGCTGCAGCATTACTTTTCAAGCCAGTACCAGTGTCTCTCCCCACTAGCAGGAAGGTCACAGCAACAGCACAAACAAGACGGGGCAGACAGAAGGCTCGCTTGGTCTCTGAAACCTACAAGGCCGAGGGCCAGGAGATAGCCACAACATGCACACAGAAAACCCTGGCTGTGTCTAAGGGCTTCAGAGACTCAGCTCTCTACTGAGGTGGCAAGTTGCCACAGCTCCCTGTCAAGCAGGTGTCCACCCACCTCGCTAGCGCCACATAATGCACGTAGTCTCTATGAGCAAGCATCAAGTGGCAAGTTGTCCTGGGACTTGCTCCAGTTTAAGAGTCATGAGGACTACCACGCCTTCAGCAAGTGTAATCACGTGCAGCCATCCTACAGGAGTAACATATAGTGTACACACACATAAACTTTAGGTCTTATATAGAAAGAAAGCTCTCATCTATTTCCTTCTACACTCTAAAGCCCCCTTTGGGAATTCTGGTCAACTACAAGCGACATCTAAAGTTACCTCTGAAGTTACTTTTGCAGCTTTTCTTAACCTCCTACTTTCCTCTGAAATTGGTCTAAACTGTTTCCTTTCTCAGGTGCTCAACACAACAACAACAAAATGTTAGGAAAAAGACCAGCTGCACTACAGCTTTGTAACTTTTCACCCTGTAAAAACCTCTTGTTTCACAGCCCTAAAAAACCGCTAGAAACTATTTCAGACAGGGATTTAACATGATTTTTTTTTTAAAGCATAGATTGAATACTGAGTGGAAGTGTCACATTGAAGTATCTCTCTAAAACAGGATAGCCATGTCCATAGTTCATAAAATGATGAGATGCACCCATACATAAAATATTTTCATGGCAATGCTCATGCCATCTGCCTCTGGATCTAGAAAGTTTCTCTGAGCTAATTATATAGCGGTGTCACCTTGAAACCATCCTGCAATAAAGGTACTTCTCTCATCTACACTGCTGAATTATGTACAGCCTTTTTCTGTTGCCAGCACGGACAGTCCTTCCCTAACTAAAGCAGCAGCACTCAGAGAGGGAATTTGTCCCCATTTAAATGGAGCTGCTTTTTGTCACAGGACAGTTAAGCAACATTTCTTTCCAGGAGACAAAAAGGGCCAGTGCCCTTCTGAAGGTCACACTGCCTTGTCCTCTGCTGGCTTTGGGATTTATGCACTGTTTCTGTTTTATGGTATCTTTCCATGGGATTCAATATTTTCCTATGACATTCTGACAGGCGGGACAAAAAAAAAGAGAGAACAACTGGGCTGTAGGACAGTAGAAGGTAAGCTTCCTTTAGGTTCTTAATCATCTGCGAATTACAGAGAAAGACTATGTGCTTGAATCAGACCACTCTCTGCCTCCCACTCCACTACAAGGTACCCAGTTCCAATCTGAAGCAAGGAAAAGGTTAATCTGGTAGTTTCCCCCAAACATACACGCCCCCACTCCTTCACACCATCAACCCCCCCTTCTTCCCTCCCCCTAATCTCTGCAGCCTCATTAAAAGAGCTTGGTAACTGTTTAGGACTGGAACTAGCAAACCAGCCACTTTGGAAGGGCCCCTGGGATGGGAGTTAAAACCCCTTCTTCCATCTTAGACACTAAAGAAGTCTTCTCAGAGGTTTCTACTTAAGAAAGGGGCTTTGCCGCAACATTTTCCCTACGACTTGGGAGAAAAGTCAGTAATCCAGCAACCAGCCAGAAGGATTTTTGACATGGCCCAAATACAGAAAAGAGAAGCTTGAACTGTTCAGAAACAACACTGGAGAAGCACAGCAAAACCAAACATTCTTGCTGGACGTGGTTATTCTTCTGTCGTGGTGGAAGGCAACTCATTGTGTTCCATCAGTTTAGCATACAGAGCTGGGAGGTAAGTGCCCTCCCCAGTGTGGCCTGATCAACAGTAAAAGACTAGTGGCTGCAAGATCATTAGCAGTGTAGTCACACACTCTTATTCCCTCCCTCTCCCCCTCCTTCAGTGTTTGATCTTTGCCTGATCCCACTGGAAATGCATCTTGGGAGGGATCCCCATTACACCTAACTTCAAATGCACCACACAAATTTACAATCAAAGGGAACAACAAGCAGCCACTCTAGTAAAGTAAAAAAAAAAACCAAGGGCACTGTTGACCTCTCCAAAGTGTCTGGCCCTACACCCAAATGCTGCTAAGTCTTTGCAACATGGCAGGAAAATACAAGCTTTGCCAGGTTACAAGTCTGGACAGTTCAAGTTGGGAGCAAATTAACCTCTGTCTTACCACCGCCACCCACTCTGCAGAGGGGCTCTGCAGGCAGCACTTTCAGAAGTTGCTAATCACTGGGGAGAGGATGACAGACACTATTGTCACAGCCAGCCACACGCTGCTTCCCCCCCCCCAGTGGAAACCAACACCTGTGCTTCCCATGCCAGGTCACTGACTCACAGTTTCCCTGTGTCCCAGCCTCACTCAGAAGACTAACAGCCTCCGTGATTAGTAATTGTATATTCGCCTTCACCAAAAGCGCCTTGCCTCAGCAGTACACCTCCCCTCTACACTCATTTAAAGAAGCCCAACACATTTATGTGCACGCCTTCTGGTTTCGCCTCCTAATCTCACCTTCTCTCCAATTACCCATAGATGGATACGTTATGGTCTCTGTTCCACTGAGTCAATTAATATAAATGTAATAAATACCGCTGTTCCAGCAGCAGACAGTTCACAATCCTATGTGGACTTCTGAACAGTATTCCCAAAACTGATGTGATCTACACCTATGTTAAGGGAGCGTACGGCCCTGGTTTAGCATCTCTGCCCAATCTCGCCAGGAGAAATGGGAAGGTTTATCCACATTTATGGTTCTTTCTCCTCTCGTTTTCATCCCAATCCTTCTACACATGTCCCCCATTTCACAGGAACTCCTGATCCACACCTATGTAGCAGTTTAAGACACATGCATGACTGATACCTTGACCCAGGGCAAGCCTCCCTAAAGAAACACAGACTATATTCCCATCAAGCACAGTCTAATGTGTTGCTGTCACTCGAAGGAAAGCAGCAGCATTACAGGTTAGCAAGAAAGCAAGCGATGCCCCCAACTAAACTAGACCTCTGCCTGAAATGGCTCCTCATTCACATCTTTCTTGGAGGTGATCAGTGCCAGAGCACCACAGGTAACAGGTCAGTTTGTACTGGGCATTTATTTTCACACTTACACTGACTTCTCTAAATTCCCTCCAAGGAAGTGGCATTAGAAAGCCAGCCAGTTCTACACCTCTTTGAATTATGAGGACTGTCCACCTAGGAGCAAACATGAGCCACCTCAACTAGACACCCAGGTCGAACTTGGGCACAACTCTCTCCTCCTTAGTCTGGGCTCTGTTTTAAGAAAGGGGGGAGTGGCAGGGCAAGAAGCCAAAAGAGAGGACCTACATACAACACAGGGAGTAGAGAGTGGGCTTCTACAATCAGGGAAACCGATGGCGTGAGAGTTAGACAGGAGGGAGGGTAGGGAACATGGAATGCAGGAGAAACTCTTATTTATGGTATCTCTGAAAGGTCGTTGATTCTGAGAATCAATCTGGAAAAAATACAAAATCCATTTTGCTCTTTTATCTCTGTTTGCTTTTGCAAAACAGGAATTTTGAACTCCGGTCAGTAAACCTGCCTCTAATTCAAGCAAATAGGGCAAAACACCGTTTTGCAATGTCAGGAGGGAGAACGTGTGCGAGCGTGAGTGAGTGAGCTAAAAGCTGATGCAAGAAGTCAGAGCACTGCCTACATGCTCTGGGATCGATGACGACGCAGAGTCGGTGGCTGCGTGTGGCGTTCAAACCAGGTTTCCAACTCCTACTAAACTCCGCAGACAGAAGGGGAGGGGACAGGGCAGGAATCGGCCGGATAACGAGCCGAGGAAGAGGGAGCTCTCTCAGGGGCTCGGGATTTTTTCCCTGCCTCTCCCCGTCAGTCGCGCAGGCCCCATATGGAAGTGCGGCGTGAACGTAGCAGAATAACCTGCATACCTCGACGCCGCGCTGCTCTCAAGGCGTGAAGCGTCTCGACAGGCTTTTGTTGGCGGTCCTAAAAACGCCACCGTACGCCTAGTGCCACTCAGCTTAGCTCTGCGTGCCTGGATCTAACCTGCCCGGATGCAAAAGCACCTTACGATGCGTGTGGGCTTCCTTTCGGCTCGCCTATCACCTCGCCCCAACCATGCAAGTTCAGAGCAGCGTGCACTGAACAGGCCATGCCGGGGCAGGAGGAAGGTTCCGCCGCCGCCCCGGATCCTCCCGCCCGCCCCTTTTACCTTGGCGTTGTGGAAATAAAGCAGCGCCGCCAACCCCCAGTGGAGCCAAGCGAGCAGAAAGTTCATGATTCCTGGAGAAAGGCAAATGAGACTTTCAACCGGCTGGGGGGCTTCTTCCTGGCTCTCTGCTCGGCTTCTTCCTTTTCCTGGGGCTGCTCCTCCTGGGCGATCTGGGAAGGCTCAGGACTGGAGGGGGGTGGGTTGGCTGGAAGCGAGAGACTTCAGTCTCTGGTTTCACCCGTTCATAAGCCCGACTTCCGAGGCGCCGGAGACGCGGACCCACCCCCCCTCCGCACCTCTCTCCTCTCAGCGTCCTCGGCCCAGCTCGGTTCGGATCCGACGCTTCTCTGAGACAATCTCTCCAGCACCACAAAGGCTCGGAATTGTAACAGCGCTTTCGCCCTCCTCGGCGGCAAGTCAGTCACCACAAGCGCGCGCGCGCTCACCGCTCAGGCACCCCCCCACCACCACCAGAAAAAAAAGAAAAAAGTTTGCCAAAAGTTTCAATGCATTTTCCCGCACAAGGTCGCTCGCTCTCGTTCGCCGGGTTCGGCTCCTGGCGCCGGTTTTCAAGCTGGAATAAAGCGGCTTCTTTCCGTTCACTACCTTCGGGAAAGCCCCTCCTGAGTCCAGGTTCGCCGAGCCCAGAGCGCGACGGGCCCCCTAAAGGAGGGGGGTGCTGCTTTCTCGCCGCTTCCTTTCGCTTTCCACTTGAGGGGGGTCGCTAGGCGAGGGAAGAGAAACCTCTCAGCGGAGCGGGGGGAAAATAAATTAATGAGCAATAAAAGACTCAACGGCAGGTCCTAAAGCACCGGGAAGTGGGAGGAACAGCGCGTCCCCAACCCGAGTCGTCTCCACCCCGTGCAAATCTATTCACTGCCTCGGTTGACTCCCTTTGCCGTCTTTTCTTCCTTTCTTTGAGGAGAGCCTGCACTTTGCTGCCTGTGCGTGCCTGTCTTCCTTTTGAATGTCAAGCAAAAGACGCGCAGCCCCGACTCTCTCCGAGCTCCGCTCTCGGCTCGACAAGAGACGCTTTTTCAGGCTTCCAGTCCCCACCCCCTCTGCTCCTCCTCCCCCTTCCCTGCTTCCCTCGCCTTCCTCCTATGGTGAGCCAAATTTTCTCGAGTATCAGTGCTCGCCACCGCCAATCAAAATGACCCTCCCCTCTTCCCCTCCCCCCTCACATTTTTTTTTTTAAATTAAGGTTCCTCGTTACTTGTGAAACTAAACGGGGAGGTGTCCAACAAACTGAGAAATCCGGGTCCCTGAGCCTTTTTTTTTTTTAACCCCCCCCCCCTTTCTTGAAAGTGGCTAGGAGAATATAGCGGGACATTCTCTTGCACAAGTCCCATTGAACGGAATGGGAGTTGAGGGAAAGCCTCCTCTATTCATTTTCCCAACAGCATTGAACCCATAGTTATCGCTGCCCCATACACAATGAGGGCTGTACCTGGTCACCCTTGTTAGTGAGGGTTGCTCTTGAAAAGCCAAGGATATTATGTGGGTGGAGGGTCCCTTTCTTTCTCCACAGATTGCCCTCCATTTCCACTACCACCATTTTATGGTTAAAGTTTACAGTTTTAAAAAGCAACAGGCCCTGTTTCTAGGCCTTCTGCTTCCACGTCCCTGAAAGAGGTACTTGCCATATTAAGCCTACACAGGAGGGAAGTGGAATAAAACTTTATGTGGGGGACATGAGTACATAAACTCTTCATTCTGCATTTTGGGATAATGCACTGAAAACATATTTTCTATACACACATCAACATAGACACCACACACATTCCTCATCCAAGATCATCACGCTCTTGACTTTGCAATAGAGCCTTCAGCACTGTATGCTTGACAAATATTGTTTTGTTTTCCTGGCTGTGAAACAATTGCTAAAAGAGGCACATTTGGTACAGAAGTTCAACTGGGACAAATTCCTGGGGTTCATCACAAACTGAAGGAAGGAGAAAACTCTTATCTGTGTGGTTGGGGGGGGGGGCAATTGTTTTAGAAAGCAGGTCCTCAGACTACACTTAGGCCTGTGAATGAAATAGAGCTGTGACTCTGTGGAGTCACCTGGTGGCTAAGCCTGGCAATCTGAGGAAACTTGAATGGAGCAAACATTAAAAATTTCTTCCTCTACAAAGTTGGGCCTGATTTAAACATGACACTAGCTAAGGCAAAAGAACTAAATCTTTGCACTTGCACAGCGCCTCGTATAAACTGGGCTGCTTTCAAATTCATGCAAACTGGACAGCAGCCCAGTTTAAGCCACGACCAGGGTCATGCCTAGGTCATGCCTTAAAGCAAATGCGGTAAGGTAATATGTCAAAAAATCTTCACAGACAGCCTTTTAAATTTGTAACTTCCTACATGGAAAATACTTTCATGCAGGGAAAAGTGTGAAACTCGTGTGTAGTTTGTCATATGTGATAACCACATGTGAGTGTATTTCATGTCATGTTCCTGTGGTACACTGGTTGGAGTCTGTAAGACCCAGGTTCGACTTTCCACTCTGACATGGAAGCTCGCTGGGTGACCTTGGCCCAGTCACACTTTCATCCTAACCTACCTGACAGGGCTATTGTGAGGATAAAATGGAGGAGAGGAGAATGATGAAAGTTGCTTAGGGTCCCTATTTGAGAGAAAGTCTATAAATGTAAATAAATACTTCATTGAACTGGGAAGCTCCAAGCCGTTGTGCTTCCCAGCATATATAGATAAAGCAACTTATACACCTGTGGGACTATAATGTACATGCAAGTTTTATACTTTTTCACACACCAAAATGCAACCCTAGGTACTTTTAGGGTCCATGGAACTCTGAAGGATTTATTATTATTTACTGCTCATTTATAGTTTAATTTTATTCTACTGCTTTACTGTAAGTGCTTTGACTGAATTGTATTGATTGCTTATTGTTTTTAAGCTGTTTTTATTTTATAAAACACCTTTGGAACTCCTACTGAGAATGCGGTATAAAATATATATTGAATGAATTTTGAATGCCTTGTCCCTTTTTACAAGCAGCAGATCTCAAGCACTACTGTACAGGGCTGCATCTGAAGGTAAAGTTTTTATTTAGTCTTTAAAATTAATTTGCCTGTCATATATTTTCCCAAAAAGTGACTGAAGCCATTAGAACCTGAGAAGTATGTTTCTTTTAAGTTCCTACAGAATATACTCTTCCATTGTTCCAGGTCTGGTTTTCATCAAATTCTGTTCTGTTTCTTGTGAAATAACTCACAAGTGGTTGTTGGAATAATATCAAAACTGAGGTAGGCAGGAAGCTATTCAAAGTACTAGACAAGGATGAACTTTAAAGCAGATATAACTATTAAGAGGGAAGGTATAAATGATGCTAATTTCAAAATTCCTCACAATACTTAACTCAGTTTCTGTGAATGCATGTCCACGGAGCCAGTATTCCACAATGTGTGGTTGGGTTTTTTTTCCCCTTTGGAAACTTTTTTTAAAAATTGAATTTCAATAGCAAAATATACAAGGATTATGATTCACAAAATTCATTACAGTCAAGGAATTAAAATTTTTACATATCATCAAAAATGGAAAGGGAGAAAGAACGAATAAATAAAAATATTTTATATTCAACAAGCTTCTTGCATATTGGCTTGCAGAGGTCATTTCCTGTCCAGCTGTGGTGGCTCAAGTGGTTAAGACACTGAACTGCAGGCTGTGGAAGGTCAGTAGTTCAGCAGTTCAAGACCCGGGTGCCGCATGATGGAGTGAGCTCCCATCTCTAGTTCCAGTTCCTGCCAACCTAGCAGTTCGAAAGCAAGAAATTACAAGTAGATACATAGGTACCACTTCAGTGGGAAGGTAACAGCATTCCGTGCGCCTTGGTGTTTAGTCATGCCGGCCACATGACCACGGAAACGTCTTCGGACAGCGCTGGCTCTTCGACTTTGAAACTGAGATGCACCGCAACCCTAGAGTCAGATTCGACTGGCTTTCAAGCAAGGGAACCTTTACCTTTAATATCCAGCTGGTGCCTTCCTGCCTTTAATTTAAACCCATTATTGTGAGTCCAATCCTCTGCTGTCATCCCCCCTACCGCACATTAACAGGAGGCCTTTTCAAGGCTTTTTTTTTAAAAAATCAGTAATTAACATATTAATATGCCAGTTACCAATTTTAAAGGCTCATCAAAAAAGCCCCTCCCAGTGGCATCGGGGAAAATGGCTGCTGTGGAGACTGGGGCAATGCTGTGGGGAATCAAGAATAAACATGCTCAGTATTCGTGTCAGGGCAAAAAACCCCTGTATGTAATCAACCTTCCACAGGATTTCAGTCTTGATGATCCTTCAAAGCTCTTCTCTCCCTGCCAAGATGTGATGCCTCTGTGGGGTTTCAATGCAACATACAACATCCTCTCTTCTAAAATGATGACTATAGCTTTACTTGGCTGTTCTTTCGTTTCACCTGGATCTGATGGTCCAGACATTTGCCTGTTATCAGAAAAATAGTCAGTGTTCAATTTGTTTGTGCATTCGAAAGGATTAAGACAAAAGTCATGAGAAGCCAAACACTTTCAGTTGGTTTCCTGTGGAGCGAACACTCCAGTGCTTAGGGGCACCTTTAAATTTAAATTAAATTTAATTTAAATTAAAAATGCTGGCAACAGTCATTAATGTCATGTGCTATATACCGTACATATTTTCTATTCTTTCTCACCATAATGTCTCAAAGTCTTTAAATAGTTAATGAGAGCTAGTATAAAATAGTAATGCACAACCTAGGCTTATTCATGTTTAATCAGAAGTAAGTTCCACTGGTTTCAATGGAACTTATTTCCAAGTAAGTGATCATAGGATAGAGAGTAGATGAGCTGTTGACCAGGAAATCCCCAGTTCAAACTGACCATTTCAGCAACAATTTCTCTCTCTCTCATACACACACACACAGAGCAATATTTTATTAATTTTTATTTAAAATATTTCTATGCTATCTTTCCACCCCAAAAGGGCCCCCGGGGTGACAAACATTAAAATATTTCAGCATTAAAAACATCTGAAATAAAGTATATGAACAATAATTTAATAAAGCATATATAACACCAGAAATCAGGGAGAAAGCCAATAACAGTTACTGAGGGTATGCCAAAGAGCACAAAAAAATATATCTTCATCTGCTGGTGAAAGACAACAGAGGGAGACAGACAAATCCCCCTGGAAAGGGAGTTCCAAAGTTTTGGCACCACAACTGAGAATGCCTTTTCTCAGGTTGCTACCTCTGACAGCAGTCCTTAAGGTATGCTGGCCTCAAACCATATAGGGCTTTAAAGGTCAATACCAGCACCTTGAATTGGGCCCAAATCAGATTGGGAACCAGTGTAGATGGAACAAGACTGGAGTGATATGGTCCCTATAACCACTCTAGTCAACATTCTAGACACAACCTTCTGTACCAACTATAGCTTCCAGAATTCTTCAAAGGTAGAGTGCATTGTGGTACTCTAATCTAGATGTTACCAGGCAGGGGTCATTTCCTGCAGGAGCGCTCAGGAGCAGAGCTCCGGCAGTAAAGAGCCCAGGGGACAGGCACATGCAACAAGCCCCACCCCCTGCTCCCAGCAGTCCTCAGTCAGAGCAAGAAGCATCCAGGTAAGTTGCAGAGCCCCCCCCCCGGTCCAAAACAGTCCATTGGCACCTTTAAGACCAAGTTTTATTCAGATACAAGCTCTCCCTCCTCTGCGAGGACAGACCTGCACATTCCCCCCCCCCAATAGCTAGCAATCCAAAACAGTCCAGTGGAGCCTGAGTGGTGGGTGTTGCCTTCTGACACACTTCCGGTGATGTCATGGGGTGTGGCATATGCAAATAAGTTATGCTAATGAGTTATGCTAATGAGCTCCTGCACCTCTTTTTCTACGAAATGACCCATTACCAGGGCATGTGCACCACAGTGACTTCCCTTACAAGAGATAATTACATGAAGCAATTTGAACATTTTCAATCATTATA